AAGTGAAAATGTCATATGGGTCACACTAGTGGAAATTAGAAGTAAGAACTTAAAACTTGTACACTATTAAAAATATGGATTATTAGCTAAGATTTTATGCTATTCTAATTGGTATAACATAAACAAAAAATACTTTTATAAAATTTTAAATGTAAGACACTAAAACCTTGTGTCATGCGCAGTAAAGGGTACCCAGGGAGAGAGGGTTAAAGAACATCATTCCAAACTTTTTTCTAACACTTACATTTCATTGTCTTGCTATCAGACTTATTCTTAATTTAGAGATGTAAGAATTGTCCTTAAGTCTCTTCCTTTCACATTTGAAAAATGCACGAGGTCTATAAACAGCCTCCCCTCTGCCAAACAGCCCATGAAGGTTATAAGTGGGCTGATGCTGTATCTCGATTCTTTGTTGACAAAATTGATCAATAATTGTATTGATCAAATTGTGCTATTTTTCTGTCAACAAAACAGTTTTGGTAGTTAAATTGAAATATGCTCACAGTGTGCCACTAAACTATGACAACCTCTGATTGATATGGCGGCCCTTGTGGCCTAGTTTCGTGCAGAAAATGGGTCCTGATCACATTTGCTAAAACTTTTTGTTAGTCTAAATTTGTTAATAATTAATATCCAGTTTTATAATTTAAACTTTAAAACAATCGCTTAGTTTCTCAGTTACAAATATTTCTCTATATACAACAATAATGATTCAAAAATGTTGTGTTACTGTGCATGTAACAAATTACAGTTAAAGTATCTGAGTCATAGCAGCCAACAGGGTCACACAAATAACTGATTGCTTGGCAAATTTCATGACAAGTAATAAAAGGATCTGAATTCAAATATATTTATTTTTTGCTAAGAATATAAGGACCGGTATTGGGCCCAAAACAGCAGGCATAATGAAAGATTTGATGGATGCTCTAACAAGCCTTTGTAAGACTCATTCTATTGGTGCTTTCGAGCATCAATGTTATTGTGCCTGTCAGACACGAAGGACTGAAGTGAACTCCATTGATGTTGTCAAACACAGCATAGCTTTAAGTAGCAAAAGTAGTTGTGTACTATATTTATGCATGAAGGTTTTCAAGATAATATATTTGTTTTGTATATCTTGTGTGAAATATCTGGCAATACTCACACAGGAATAAATAATAGTTTATGATTAAGTACTGTTAAGAAAAATGCTAGAATTGTGAAACAACATATTCAAGGTGATTTTTGTTTTTCTGTTATTGGTAACATTGTTTTAGTTACAGTTGACACTTTTAGATAATAAGTTTTAACTGTTTGTAAAAATTCTAGACATGTGGTAAGTTCTGTGTTGTTTTCAAAATTGGAAAATGTTTATATCAAACATATTTCTTTCATATCTTTCAGGGATGAAGACTGGAATGAGTTTAATGACATAAATAAAATCATCATCCGCCAACCTGTACGAACAGAGTACAGAATAGCTTTTCCGTACCTGTACAACAACCTACCACATTACGTTCACTTATCATGGTATGTTTATTATGTACCGTATAGGTTTTATTGTAACAAATTGAATCACTGGATTGTGATCTGTAGACCTGTGTGTGTGTGAATCAAAATCATCTGTTAATTTACATTGTTTAGAGCTAGCGGGACCAAATTTGGCAGGTGGATGTGGAGTGTCCTGGGGTGGCCTTATCTTTCTGGCATATCCCCCCCCCCCATAATTAATGTTATTGTTAGGGAATATTAAATATTTAACCATTAACCAAATACATGTGCTATAATTGGCTCTAATTCACCAAATAAATTGTAAATTGCAAAAATTATGGAAAGCTGTGAAGTGTTTCATTTTCTATTCCAACCAAACATTCAAATGAATAAAGTTTTTTTTTTTTAGAAAATCAAACAGAAGTAATGACAGAAAATTGTGAGAAGTAAAAAATAAAAACATTAATTGATACAACTAAAATATGGGGGGAAAACAAGTGATTAATAATTTCCCACACTATAAATACATGTATAGCACCCATCAACTTCCATTATTTGACTTGGGTTGTTAACTTTTAGGAAGGAGCTATTTTTTTGAGCATTTTTATTGATTAATTTATTGAAAATTTAATAGATGGTCACAAATTTTATTGTTCTGTCTTGTTTCTGAAACAAAAATTATACTAGAGCTTTTAGTAAACTCTGATTTAAAGTTATCTTGACAAATTTGTCATTAACTTATTTCATTTATATTTGTTTTATGTTGGTGTGAAATAGTTTCTCATGTTTTGATTCAAGTTAAATCCATGTTTTTTTGGAATTCAAGCATACAGAAGAATAGTGGGCTGTATGTAGAAAAAAGCATGGCAGAAAAATTGTTGGTGTCAACATATTGATCACCAGTATTAGTAAAACCTGGTGGTTGCTGAGTACATCCACACTAGTTTTATGATTATTTAATTAACCCATTGACTGCTGATTTGCTGTATAGGGTATGGTCTGCCTCTGGCAGTTGAATGCAAGTGTGCTGTGTACAGTGTACTGCTTGAAAAATTCCATGTGCTTTTAAAGCAATCATAGCCAAAGGATTAAGATTGTAATGATATATTGTACAATTACATGGAAAACATAAGACTTCTTTTAAAAACTTGTATTTATTGCAAATTCTTTATCTCTATACTGAAGAGTCTTCAGAGAATGTGCAGATTGGACTATTGTTTTTGTTGGAATAATTGCTTTGTGAACAGATGTTTGTTGAACATTCTGTGACAGAAGCTTGAAAACTACTTGTATATTGGGGAGAGGGGCAGTCTTGTGTATTAATGTAGTTAATATTTTTAGTTTGTAGTTAACATCTTTTTATTTTGAATAACTGTTCTTTAGTTACAGCTTTTACTGACTTTAGTGTTGATAAAGGTTAGTAAGTAAATGATAGCACAGAAAACTGAGAACTGATTTCATGTCTTAAATATGTGCATATCAAGAACTGATTTGTAAGAAAGATTTGAAGTAAAAATATTTGAAATGAGTTAGACTTACTATAAATAATACAATACTTTTTATTTGTAATTACTATTAAGATCAATTCTGTGATGTAAAAACATTACTTGAAATGAGTATAGTAGAAAAATTATAATGTTATATTTGCAAGTGGAACATAACTTCAACTTTCAACAACCCTAAAACATAAAACAAAGCTAAAAGTATTAAAAATAGTGTTTATTGCATAGCATTTGGTAGTATTAGCAATAATATTGTTTTAATTAAAAAGTGTTATTAATAAACAGTGATGCCCTGAAGCTCAGCTGTATATTGGAAACTACCCATATGTAGTAGTGATAGGAATAACAGTATCTTGAGTGATCTTCTTGTATTGTATATGTTTTAGGTATCATGCTCCAAATGTTGTGTACATTAAAACAGAAGATCCTGATCTACCAGCATTTTACTTTGATCCTCTAATAAACCCAATCTCGCATCGGCATGCAGTGAAGGTAATCTTTCTTGTCACTAGAAAATTAATATTCCAGTTGCTATCTGATGTTTACTTGACTAGCTGGGTTTGTACTGAAAGCATCTTTTTATGTTTTTACACATGCAAAATAATAAAGGAAACATCAATTATATTGCTTTTTTTTTCTCTACCTGATTATTGCTAGTCATAATATTAGTAAATTTTGTATTGTTGATTGTTGTATTTCTATTTGAATTTAATAAAAACTAAAATTTTAAAAATATTCTTAAGTTCACTTTATCAAGTTATTTAAAGTACTCAAATGTTTTAAAAAAAAAACAACATCGTAAGATATTTTTCTTCAGGAGAAAATCTAGCCTATCTGATAGGTGTTATTCCATTCATTCTTAGTATACTTTTTATTAATTGAACAAATCATAAATTACAAGTGATACAAAGTTTATTTTAATTTGGTGTTTTATAAATAATTTACAGACAAATTGTGTACTTTCAAGAGCTAATTTTTCAACTTTGGGAGGAAATAGCATTTAGCTTAGTTGTGTTTAAGGTGATGGGAAAAAAGACTAAGTCATCATTGATTTTTGATTATAACTGAAAATATTTGGTTACATTTTTGTACTTTATTTGGATTATTATTGGTATTTCATTGTTTGAAACTTCCAGTGTTACAACCAATTCTACTTAAACAATATTGAACCACTTTAAAAAAAAGGGTTACAGAGAGATATTTTTGATAAAGAAATTCACTGATTCCAAAGCTGAATCAACAAAACAAAAGAATGTTAAAACACATTTATTTGTTTATAATTGTTTGTAATTGTGGCTCTTGTATCCTGTGAATTTCTGAGAATTGTAAATATTAGTTGTAATGAAATTAGTAGAATTTTTTTTTGTATATTCAGAGAAAAAAAGCCTTCTAAAAATGAAAACTATCAATATTATAAATAGGGTACTGAACCACTACCAGATGATGATGAAGAGTTTGAGCTTCCTGAAAATGTTCAACCTTTTCTACAAGATTCACCACTCTATACAGACAACACAGCTAATGGTATTGCTTTGCTCTGGGCCCCTAGACCATTCAGTTTACGTTCAGGCAGAACAAGAAGAGCAATTGATGTACCACTTGTCAAATCTTGGTTAGTATAAGTTAATGTAGTTAATTGAGTTTTAGCTTTTATGTATATATTAACAGTGATGTGTATCATATAAAAGTTTTCAACTGATATTACATTAGGAGACATAGTTGTAAAGACCATAGTTTTCAGTTAAGTGAGTGGATTTTTCTAAATACTTAAGTAATGTATAGGAATATCTGTGTTTAGAAAATTCTTGACACATAAAGCTTAAGAACTTGCACCTTTCAAATTTCCTAAAGCAAAATATCAGTGCAGTTCTCATCAGTGTTATTTGCTATTTTAAAACTCTTAGACGTTCTACTTGTGCTTTTTGTATTCATATTTATTTTCTTATGAATTTGTTATATTAGACAACTGAATTATTTATTCAATATTCATATAGTTTTGGATTAATACACTGTAGGGTGAAACCCACAGTAAATGTAACAAAATATCAGAAGTCTGATATTAGAGAAACTAGTTTCGACACATTCGTGCTTCCTCTTCAGTATCATGTTGTTTTCTGGCTGAAGAGCATACACAAATGTGTCAAAACTAGTTTTTCTAATATCCGACTTCTAACAGTTTGTTCTGTTTACTGTTGTATTTTACTAATTACTATACACAATATTGTGTTGCTTTATTATTATCACTGTAGTGTTTCTGTGTGTGGATTAAACGTAGCTAACTTACAAGAACTGTTAATGTTTATGTATTTCTTATAAATGGCTGTATGTGGTAGCAGTTCATCCTGTAGAGCACTGCACATGTGCAATACTTGTTTGTGATAGTACTTTGTTTACATTGCTACTTGAAGATGACTGTATATGGTAACACAACATCCTATAGAGCAATGCACATGTACAGTACTTGTTTGTGATAGTACTTTGTTTACATTGCTACTTGAAGATGAATGTATATGGTAACACTACATCCTATTGAGCAATGCACATGTACAGTACTTGTTTGTGATAGTACTTTGTTTACATTGCTACTTGAAAATGACTATGGTAACACCACATCCTATAGAGCACTGCACGTGTACAGTACTGTAGATCATTGTATTTTTTAAATTATAATAAATAATTAAAAACAACGTTATATTTACACAATAAAAACTTTATTAAAGCTGTACAGCTTCCACTTTAAAATAGAAATATCACTCTACGTGTACATGTTTTGACGTGATCTACGTCATCCTCAGGAGTAACTTGTAAGACTATTTTATACTTTCCCATTGTTGCATTATTATTCATTATTATTTGCATATTTCTAGGTGTAATAAAAACAAAAAAAATTATCTTCCCATATATCAATGTATTGACTTGCTGGTCCTTCGTCTCTATTTAATACTTGTTTTTGTTTTTTATATTTCAATAAAGTTTTTATCGTGTAAATATAAAATGTTTTTTAATTGTTTATTATAATTAAAAAAATGTAAATGCAAGTACTGGTAGTGCATATTTTTGATCATTGTATGTACAGCATCTGTAGATGGCTCTATATGTGTACATTGTTGTTGTAGATGAAGTTACTTATTTTTGTTAGAATTAATGTAAGACATTTGTAATTTATTTTTGTGTAGGTATAGAGAACACTGCCCTCCAGCAATGCCTGTGAAAGTACGTGTTTCATACCAGAAGCTTCTCAAGTATTTTGTGCTTAATGCCTTAAAACACAGACCTCCAAAGCCTCAGAAAAAGAGGTATGATATTTTTGAATAGAAATGACTAATAGCTCTTTATCATATGGCTTGTAATTTTTTTGTTTTCTTAACACATAATCATAAGTCAACAAATATTATGAACTTGAGATTTTTATAAGTTCAATAAGAATTAAAAATGATGATGCTTTAAACTGTTTTAGTATTTCTTTAATTAGCAAATTTTACTTCCTGATTTTATTATTACTACTTGAACTTTTATTCTAAATATTTAAGTTGATTAAAATGTTTCTTAAAGTGTATGTGTATTGGACATTTGGAATATTAAGCATTTTTTCAAAAGCAAACTACACATTTGTGGGGCTTGGTTTTAAGATTTTTATTTTGGTAATTTTAAACTATTTGTGTTAGAACTTAATGTAAAATGTATTGAAATCAAGAAATAGTGAATGTTTCTTGAAAAATAATTTGAAAATTGGAATAAGTTGTACATTGAGATGATTCTTTAATAATCGCAGGATATTTTACTGTAAAGATGTATCCATGCTTCATGGATTTATTATAATGAAGAATAATAAATAGTAACTTTTAGTAAAAGTTCTTATTTTAATGAGAATATTTATCAGAAACTGTTACTGTTGTATTGAACAACAGGTATTTGTTCCGTTCCTTCAAGTCCACTAAGTTTTTCCAAACTACTACAATTGACTGGGTTGAGGCAGGGTTGCAAGTGTGTCGTCAAGGTTACAATATGCTGAATTTATTGATTCATCGTAAGAATCTTAACTATCTTCACCTGGACTACAATTTCAACTTAAAACCTGTGAAAACACTGACCACAAAGGTTAGCTGTCATAGTACTATTTAAATATTGACTAAAAGTAATTTATCTCTAGTAAATGAATGGATATTTGAACTTAAGTGTTCATTAATGAGTATCTTTAATAAGATTATATCTTATAATTTACTGTTATTAGTATACTTGGATTGTGTAAAAAAGAAAATTGATGAAAGTCTACTAGTTTTATAAGACTGTGATATTCATAAAGTGTGTTGAACAATCTGCTTTTTAATGATTTTGACTTTGGTTATAATGACAGGAAAGAAAGAAGTCCAGGTTTGGAAATGCTTTTCATCTGTGTCGTGAAATCCTGAGACTGACCAAGTTGGTTGTAGACAGTCATGTCCAGTACCGGTTAAACAATGTAGATGCTTTTCAACTTTCTGATGGCCTGCAGTACATCTTTGCTCATGTTGGTCAGTTGACTGGCATGTACCGATACAAATATAAATTAATGAGGCAGATTAGAATGTGTAAAGATCTGAAGCACTTGATCTACTACAGGTTTAACACAGTAAGCTTATTTTTGTTTCATCATTATAAAATCTGGCTATTTCATCTTCAACACCAGGATTGTATTAATATATAACAAATTACATAGTAGATTACTGTAAATTAAATGCTGAATCAATTAGTGTGATGAAAATTTGTACAATATTTAGACTACTGTATAGAAGAAAAAACTGGGTAACACTTTGTATTAAATACTATTAGGATAAGTAAAATGAGCTTAGCTGTAGACTACTGTGTAGAAAAACAATAGTGACCACCCTAAATTAGTCCTATTACAATGGGTGTGTGTGTGTATGCTTCAGATGTTGACAGCATACCTGTACTTAAAATTTTAAAATGTAAGCAAAACATACAACTTCAACAATAAAATTCGGCTCTTATTTTTGCTTAGTTCTGGAAGCCTGTGAACAATGCTTTTATCTTTTTTTTAGAATTTTTCTTCTTGTTAAAAAGCATAGATATATATTTGCTAAGAAACTATCATCCCAAACATAATGAATCATAATTTGTTTTGTAATTTCTTGTTGACACTTTTCATTCCTATTAATGTTTTTGTATCATGTTTGTTTTAAAGCTACAGAAATATTCTTCTGTGACAAGCCATTAGGTAAGGATAACTTAGGTTTAGGTAAGCTAACCTGTGATAGCAGATTATTCAGATCACACAAACTTTTTAATATCAAATTTACTGTTTATTGTTTTCAAACATTCCATAAAAATATAGAATTACTTCTTATTTGTTGAAAACAACCTATAAGTACCAAAACAGTCATACAGTGTTTGTGTGCTTTATTAACTAAAAACCACTCCAACTGGTATAATATAGTATCAAAAGAAGTCAATGAATATCAAAGTAGTTGTGACTGGGATATATAAAATGGAACTTTCTAATTAATATTAACACTTTCTTAATGGACTTGTGTATTTTACATGACCATGTAACATACCATGACTGTAAATACTTAATGTTTCTCATGAAATTTGGCAAGCTTTCAGTAAACATGTCTCTTGTAGACCAAAAAAGTCAGAATTTTTAGTAAGTATTTTTACTAAAGTTACTTTTCTTCATCTGAAAATTTTTCAATTTCATTTGTATAATACCTAAAACCTCATAAATAAATTTCAGATTTTTTTCCAGAAATACTTTATACCTTAACTGTTATTTTGTATACTGTAATTCTATTCAAGATCATTTGAGTTGACCAAGTTCATAACCACCATAAAAAAACTAAAAAGGAAATAATTCTAAAGTACCCTTTATTTCTTTCTGGAATGACAGCAAATTGTATCAGGAAACCACAATTTTTTATCCTAAATGGCTTAAAGCTTGTAACAGTATATATCTGTTTATACTTAATTTTATTGTTTTATTGCCCTTTGAACCGTATCATAACTGCCATACAAGTTGTAAATCACTAGATGAATTACATAACACATAGTTGCTCACAAGCATACCTTGTAAGAAAGTATTCTTTTTCATTATCTTACCTAATTTAACCCATTAAGTTTCTAATTTTTACATTTTAGTTACATTTACAATAATGTAGAATACATATGAAAAACAAGAAATATAGTTGTTACCGGGGCCTTGTTATTTTTTTCTGTTGACTGCCGATGAAACTTAAGCTTACTTTTTTATACTAATGGCACCACTGCACTAAATAATTTTCATTTAATTAAATAATGTACTTAATAACACACAGAGAACAAATTGTTCTTTAACTGTCAATATTTGTGGCTTTCTAACAGTGTGGTAAGTTTAAAAATTCAGCTAAGCTCATTGATGGGATTCCAACAAGAACAAATTTGAAACTGAAACAGGAAGTATACAGTTCTCTTTACAGAAAACAATATAATATATCATTTGATAGATTAATACTAGCTTTCTAATGGTTATAAATAATGTAATATAAAATGTCAGAGAGAGCTAGTGGCAATTTGTGAAAGATGATGTGACAAATTTGGCTTTGTTCTAGTTTATGACTGTAAACAAATAAGATTGAATAGCATAAAAATTATGCTTTGCCTGAGTAATATTTATGTTAAATTTTGTACTTCTCAGAGGGATGTTAAATAAATTAGAGAAGAGGGAAGACATGGTCAAATGTCACAATTCTCATATTAGGGGAGTTTGAGGATTTTTTATGAATATTTCCTTATAAAAAAACAAGAATGTAAAACTTGTATAGTATTAACATTTGATATCTTAAGTATGTTTTGATGCCAACTGTGTTTGCATACATTGATAATATAGCAGTTTAAATAAATTTTGAATGCAAGTCTCTAAAAGGTTGTGACGTGCACTTTGACCTATCTGATGAGAAAGGTCAAAAACACAGATTAATGTGGAAAGAAGTATTTTTAATATTTTTAAAAACAATAGAACACTCAAATTGTTGAAACTTCACAACATAAAAAATGATACAAATAACAAATAAAATATTTTTTATTTACAAACCTTCTACTATGGGTACAAAGTTTCATGCAACTTGGTTAAGTAATTTATGTATGAGAATAAAAAATGTGGTATGTCAGTGATAACATTCCAATTCATAAAGAGGTAAATATCAAATCTACTAATGTAAAGAAAATTAGTACAATGATGAGACATGTATAGAAAACAAAAGCAATAGCCCACCAAGTAGTTTAGTGCCAAAATAGCAAATAATGTGGTAACTGTTATTCACTATTCAACATTCACTGTGGTAGTCAGGAGAAAGTGGATAAATTGTTAGTATCATTTTTATATTGAATGTATTATTCTAAAGAAATTCTATAAAATAAAAGTTAAGTTTAATTGAATATTTACATACTTAATGTTTATTTTTTAGGGTCCAGTAGGTAAAGGTCCTGGTTGTGGATTTTGGGCACCAGGGTGGCGTGTCTGGCTGTTTTTCATGAGAGGTATCACCCCTCTGCTAGAACGCTGGCTTGGGAATCTGCTGTCTCGACAGTTTGAAGGTAGACATTCAAAAGGAGTTGCAAAAACTGTTACTAAACAGAGAGTGGAAAGTCATTTTGATTTGGAACTTCGGGCATCTGTAAGTGTTAAACTTGTATATTTTTGGAGACTGTAAGTTATGTTAGAATTGAAAGAAATTATATACAGTTACAGATCATTTTAGTTTTAGGCCAGACATAGTCTAGTGGTTAGCAAGTCTTTCTGTGAATCTGAGTGTTCATGGCTCATGTTTAGTTGTCACAAAATTATGCTTCATACTTTGAGGTTATGGACACAGTGATGGGCAAATCCCACTATTCAATTACAATCGCTCAAGAATTGGGAGTGGTTGCTATTGACTAGTTAGTTGCCTTCAGTTAGTTTGCCAGCTCAAAATTAGGGTTGGCTACTGCATATAGGTTCTGCTTAGGTTTGTACAGATATCCCCCTTTTTTAAATTTTGTACAAATTTTCTGAAACAACTTCTTTTTTGTGTGTGTGTGTGTGTTTATGTGCCAGCTGTGTTACAATATTTAAGTGTTTTTGTTTCATTTTGTATGTTTACTTATCACTTCATTTTAATAACCTTTATAAGCTTGCATAGTTTGAGATGTGAAATGATGTTTATAGTGTAAAACATTTTTGTGTTAGTGTTACACCTTAGTAAAAATGTATAGGTACAGATTCAAGGAAAGTAGTATGTTATATGTAAAAGTATGACATATGAAAATGTTGCTGTATTTTTTATGGTGTAAATACTGGTGTATAAATCAAACATTGTTTTGATTATAACTATTTTTGTTGTAGTTTCACTATTTAAAACAATTGCATGTTTCTCAAACGAGATAAAAACATTGCCTTTATACAAATTAACAACATTTTAAATTTTAGGTGATGCATGACATTCTTGACATGATGCCAGAAGGAATCAAACAAAACAAAGCCAGAACCATCCTTCAGCACCTGAGTGAAGCCTGGAGGTGTTGGAAAGCTAACATTCCATGGAAGGTGATCATTTACTATGATCATATGTTAAATCCTTTGGCTGATTCTGATAGTTTGGTCATCATACTACAAGAGCAAACAGCAGTAGAAGTTTTGATGTAGTTTATCTTGGAATTATAGAATAAACAATAAAAAATGTATTAGAATTTGAAACTTTAATAAACTTACTGGACATTTATTGCAAGAATAAAATACTAGGTTGTTAAGTATTCAAAGTATAAGTAAACATTGTTGCTAATGTTTCATTCTAAGTGTTAAGAAAATCAATACTGTAAGCTTAATGAAAAATAAATGCTTTAGGTACCTGGTCTGCCTATACCAATTGAAAACATGATTCTGAGGTATGTGAAAATGAAAGCAGATTGGTGGACTAATACTGCTCATTACAACCGAGAAAGAATTCGACGTGGAGCCACTGTTGACAAAACAGTGTGCAAGAAAAATTTGGGGCGCTTAACACGACTGTACTTGAAGGCTGAGCAAGAAAGACAACACAATTACTTGAAGGTATAGAAATGATGTTTTTTTTTTGGGGGGGAGGATAAAAACAAACAAACTTGTAGAAGTGTGATAAGTGTTATACATAACAAAACTCCAGTTATATGTTTGATTCCTTAGTATGATAGTATGTTTAAATGCCTTTGACATTAATTTTTCTTTATTACCTCTAAAATTGATATTCTATTTCTAATAATATCTAAAACATTTCTTAGACAAATTGTATTATATTTTTCTATTATTATTATTTTGTTTTTCCCAGGATGGCCCTTACATCAGTGCTGAGGAAGCAGTAGCCATCTATACCACCACTGTTCACTGGCTAGAGAGTAGGCGGTTTTCACCAATCCCTTTCCCACCACTTTCCTATAAACATGACACAAAGCTTCTGATCCTTGCATTGGAAAGACTTAAAGAAGCATATAGGCAAGTGCTGTTTAGTTAATAACCCTTGTCATTTTATTTATATATATATATATGTATGTGTGTGTGTGTGTGTGTGTGTATATGAACCCATAATGTCTCAACTCCTACTCCCTTTCAAGCACTCAACTATCAACCCTTAACTGATTCTCCTTACTCGCTGCCAAGTTTTATATTGGTTTAGGGATCCTGTCTGATAGATGGAATATCCCAATGCGTTTGGGTGCTATGACAATAGGCAATATCCGTTATGACATAAGGATGACAACAAGAAATGGTGGTGGAAGAATTGTTTTGAACTTTAATTTTATTATAATGTTGTTTTTGTTTTGTATTAAGTTCATTATTGTATTATAGTGCTGATTTAAATCGGCCATCAACAATTAATGTATTTCATTGTATTAGATATATTTATGTGTGTGTTATATATGTTACCATTATGAGTAAGAACTAGATATCTTTCAGCTTAGGAATTGGTAGTCAAGAGAATTTTTAACTTTCCTTGAAACTTTACAATCTCTGAAAATATTATTACCCCCAATTTCACTGTCAATTTAGTTAATAGTTCTTTAGGTTGTGCATATACAAACTTTATCATAAGTTGAACTTTTTTTTTTTCCAGCGTTAAGAGTCGGCTGAACCAATCACAGAGGGAAGAGTTGGGACTCATTGAGCAGGCCTATGATAATCCACACGAAGCCCTGTCACGTATCAAACGTCACTTGCTTACTCAGAGAGCTTTCAAAGAGGTACAGAAATCTTGAAGCTAGCTTTAAGTCTATTTCTTATTTGTCATTTTATTTCCTGTAGATCTCACATATTACTTTCCATACATAGAAATTGTTAGAAAATTTCTCATAAACTGATATTTTGTACATTATCTATGATTTGAAATAGGTTGGAAGCAGGAACTTCCTGATTGGAGAAAGTAATTTTTAATTAAGTATTTTTGATTATTATATAAAATAAATTTGCAATAAGATTACAAAATTATGATTGTTTACATTTTAATTGCATTAATTTTTGTAGATGGTAAAAATTTAATATTGTTAAGTGTATTAACTCTCTCACTATAGGCTCGATCCCAGGGACTGATGTCGTAACCATTTTATGCTTGTTACAGTTTCATACTATAACTTTGAATACAGTATGTGTATCTTCACAAAATTTTACTGATTATCAGTAAACATTACAAGGCTTTCATACACAAAATATCAGATTTTTTTAAAATTAAGTTTAAGATTTTTAAAGTAATGATTTGCTTCTGTATTTTTTCTTTTTGAATGTTGACTGTCCATCATGCAGAGTAAATTTGATTTTAAGAATATAAATACTTTTATGCATCAGAAAATTGTGAAATTTACCTGCAAAATCTTTATAACCTCCAGATAATTATAAAACATTTGTTTTAGAATAAACTTTAGATATTTTTCTGTTATTTTCACTACTGTATCTGTATGGGTTTGGTTTGATTTGACTGACCTCATAACCACCATAAAGAATTAGGAAATAGATATAGATTACCTTTGTTTTTGTTCTAGAATAACTACAAATTATAACAAGAAATCACAAGTGTTTAGTCTTGATAGCTTAAACCTCAAATAAATAAATAAATAAATAAATATATATATATTTGTCATTCTTATTTTATTGACCTTTCAACCGTTACAGAAGTTGCAGTGGTGCGGTGCATGTGCACTCATGTTACCATAGTCAATAGTGTAAAACTGTCCTGTCTTGGCTTTGTTCTGGTGAACCAGTATTTTGTAAAATAGTTACATTTCAGTTATAATACATTACATATGTATATATATATATTATTAATATTTACAAATAATTTCTTAAATTTCAGTTATTTTTCTTAAAACATAGAACAGTAAATAAAGAATTTATAAAAAAAACAATGATTTCTACTACTTATAATTCTAAAGAAGTTTGTACACGCCGTACCTTGCTTGCTAAGCCTTGCCAAATTTCACATGTGGAGGATGTAAAACGAAATAACTTTTTTAGGTTTTATATATGTATTTTGAAATAAAAAAAATTATAAATTACTCTATAGATATTGCAGAATTCCACTGTAAATTATCAGGCTTACTAAACAAACTGTATTTGGGTCTAAAAAAATATTGTTTTTCAAACAACATCTTCACTTACCCCTTCCTTTTGATATTCAAGACAAAAAGAAATAATCTTGGAAACTTTTCACCTAAGAAAACCATGTGGGGGAAATTCTGAGCTTTTGATTGATTATAAAACCATGATAGAGTGAAGCGGGGGGTTACGTAAGTATTTTTAAAAGTTGGAAGAAATGAGCAGGGCCACTGTATTTGAGTTGCTAAATGTAGTGATATCTCAGCAAATAGAAAAGATAGGAGGTTCTTATTTTATATACTAGCTTGTAAATATCAGAAACATCTAATTTGAACCAAAGCTGCATTCAGCATACCACAAGACACATAGGAATGTTTTTAAATTAAGAAATTAACTAATGTATAATTCTAAAACTTGAATTGTAATCTACAGTTTGAAACCAAACTTGACATACATTCATAAAGTGGTAGTTCAATAAAATTTTGAATGTAAGTCTACAAATGTGATGACATATCCTTTGACCCCATAAAGATCTGTAGTGATAGGGTTAAATAAGTATATGCAAGTACACATTAATTCAGCAGTAGTTTGGGCCAGTGGGTATTGTTAGCCTAGTTACACAGAAAAGAGGGTAATCAAATTCAAGGGATTTGTAGTGACTGTCAGTGTAGTGGTTGATGGCATAAATATGAATATATATGAAACTATTGTAATAAAACCTGAGTAGTCTGTAAACATCTTAATTTAAGTTGGGATAGTTCATTGGTATTTTATATTTTTGTATTTTAGGCCCCCCTAGTATGTTTAACATGGGGTAGTTCATTATTAAGTATGTATTATCACTAAAAACTTCTATCATGATTAGGCTCTTCTACTTTGTCTAGGTGGGAGGGAGAGGGTACAGTTTAAATATTACCAGGACTAACATTCAACTTCTTTACTGTAACAAGATAGTGATAACGTTAGTGGATCTGTGCAGGCATTTGATTTTTGCAACATAATTGGGTCCTTCTGTATCTAGGTGGGGATAGAATTCATTGATTTTTGCAGTCACTAGATTAACTCTAGCTCTTTTATTATGTTTAGGTGTCTGTAGGGTTTAAACATCTGTGTTGAGAGCATTTATAGATGTGCACAATCACTTGGCTAGACTTTTCTATGTTGAAGTGTGGGGTATAGTTCAAGTGTGCATTTTCACTTGATGTTTATAAAAGAGGCTTATCTTCTATACCTAGGTTGAGATAGTGTTTTTATAACTGTACAGTCTTAATGTGTAGTACACAGGATCTTCTACTTTATATAGGTGGGATAAACTTCATGGATGTGTGTAGTTATTTGACTATTGTAATGTAATTAGTATATTATACTACATATAGGTAGGGATAGAGTTCATGGACCTATACAGTCACTTGATTCCTGTATATGATGTGGAACCCCTAGAGAAAATCACAGATGCTTATCTAGACCAATATCTCTGGTATGAGGCTGACAAACGAAGACTTTTTCCCCCATGGATCAAGCCTGCTGATTCTGAACCACCACCACTTTTGGTGTACAAATGGTGTCAAGGTAAAATTTAAAAAATATGTTGGTCCTTTTTGTTTTTCCTAGTTGTATTGCCAGTTCTGTGTAGAATTTCTAATTGGTTATGTTATGGCTATTTTAAACTCTCAAAATTTAGAATATTTAAAAATAAGATGTACTTTTTTGTAGACTTGGAGAAAAATATCAGAATACATAATTACAAAGGAAGGTAACCATTGCTAATTTATGGTTGCTCTTTGTTGACACTAAAGGATTTAAATCAAGCTGTTCATTAATTTTGGTCTGGACATAATCTAGTGGTTAGCATGTTTGAACTGTAAATTCAAAGATTCATGGTTTTTGACCCATTGCTGCAAAAATGCACTTTGTGTTTTAGGACCATGGATGCATTATAAAAGTGATTGACAAATCTCGCTGTTCAATCAGACAAAAGTAGCCTAAGAGTTGACTAGCTATCTTCACTGTAGTTTGTCAATTCAAAATTATGGATGGCTATATGCAAATAGTCAGTGTGTAGTTTTTCTTAATACTCTGAAATTTTTTTCAATTTCCAAATCGGTTTTTATTAATATTATTGACTTTACTTGAATTAACATACATAATTTAGAAAAACTGGATTCCTGGAAACGTGGATCAGGGATGCCTTTCTCAAGAGAGAGCACCTTGTTTCTGTGTTCCTCGATCTCGAGAACGCTTATGACACCAAAAGTTTTTACTGAACAGGCGATTCCAAGTCCGTGTGGGTTCAACTCTTTCCTGTTCCATTCGAAAGGAACTTGGAGTCCCTCAGGGCTGTCTTGAGTGTCACACTTTTTAGTGTTAAAATTAATGCCATCACTAATAATCTTCCTCCGATTTTTGCAAATGGGCCCCATGTCAACGACTTCCACATCTCGTGTCAGTCGTCGAACATGAGGTTTATTGATCGGCAGCTTCAGACTGCCCTCAATCGGTTGTTGACATGGATCACTGCAAACGGTTTTAAATTTTCTTTTTCCAAAACTGTTTTCATGCATTTTTGCCGCCAACGGGGTCTCGACCCCGATCCCAAGCTCAGTCTTGGTGATATAGTTATTCATGTGGTCCCTGAGGCAAAGTTCTTGGAGCTTACTTTTGACCGTAAACTTAGCTTCATTCCACACATCAAGCAGCTACGTGTCAAGTATGCAAGGGCTCTGAACATTTTACTGTTGTGCCGTCATTACGACCGTGAGCGGCGGCACTATTTTAGACACACATTTTCTAAGAGTTTACCCCTGACGTTGGACAGTGTCATTGGTAATGGTGACACTGTCCGACTAGATTGTATTTTTAATTTTTTACGCACTCTAGGTCTTTTTAATTATATATAAATCTTTTATCGACATATTTTGGTTTTGATTTGCTGTATTTTTACATTTTATTCTAATTGACTTTTACTGTTTTTACTGGTTTTTTGGTGCAGATAGCCTCGTTGCTTTGCGCCATAAAGCACCAAACAACCAACCAACCATAGAAGAACTGGGGAACCAATAAGCTAGCCTTTTTTGGGGGGTTCAAGTTATTGCACTTTTGGCATTAGCCTTATTGTTGACTGGATAGAAGTGTCCTGTTTAAGAGTCTAATGCTGTATGCTTGAGCCTTCAAGCATTGTGTATGATACTAAAAAATAGCCTTTATAAGGTTGAAATGCTGTAGGAAAACAGAATAAACTTGTAAATATGATGCATCTAAAAACTTTCCCTATCCAACAGTTACTACAGACAATCAAAAAGAGCATATCCAAGCATAAATGTTCATACCAAATGTTCAACAATTAGTGCAAGCTGTATTCTTCTGGGATTTGTTTTTGTAAATTTTGATTTTGACATCTTTAGGTGTAAAAAAATTTTTGATTTGGAAGCAGCACATTATTCATTAACTTTTCTTAGGTTTGGCTGTGATTGTTCAGTTGTATTTAGCTGGCCTTGCATTTCACTACTGAAGGAAAGACTGGTATAAACTTTATTTCTCTATACATTGTTTTTATAAATTTATTGGTAATTTAATATAAGAAAAATTTATACTTCTAGGCATAAATAACTTGCAAGATGTATGGGATACTTCAGAAGGGGAGTGCAATGTAATGTTGGAGTCCAAGTTTGAAAAAATGTATGAAAAGATTGATTTAACGCTACTTAACAGACTTCTGCGTCTGATTGTAGACCACAATATTGCTGACTACATGACAGCTAAGAACAATGTGGTCATCAACTACAAGGTGAGATACTTTTTTCAAATGTTTAGAATTTTATTCGTGTATTCTGCCTTTATTATTAAACATTTCACTAGGGAGTTCAAGTCATCTGACACAGAAATGGCTAATAATTAATAATTTACATTAAGATTTAGTGTCTGTATGTCTCATAACTCCTCCTAAACTTTTGGCCACACTGACTTCAGAGTGATACCAAATAAATTGTTTCAGTCTTGAAGTTTGTACAAGAGTAAAAGTTTTCACCTCATCTCTTGGGGAACCTGGGGATTTCCTGAAAACCCCTTCTCCTAACCTGTTGAACACACTCATTTCTAAGTGGTGACAAATGAATTGTCTCGGCATTGTAGTTTGCATAAAGGTAACTTTTCACCCAACCACTTTGGAAACTTGGATATTTTATGAAAACACTTTTATGGAGATCCCCTGAAAGCAGACCCAAAATTTGGCATTGATTTACATTAGAGCACATAAATAAGTAAGGCCACTAATTGCTGTTTGTAACTTGATTGAATAAATTACATTTTCATTATAGTGACAATGATCATCATTAAATTGAAAAAGTACAAAATAATAGTTCAAGTATTAAATTTGCACTGTAGTAGCCCTATAAATGTGGGCTATAGATCCATGGGTTTGCTAGTGCACAGAATGTGCTTTGAATTTTCAAACATTATTTTCGATTAAAATTAAATTTGAAGTTGTGGAATTTTTGTTTTAATATTGTTCAGAAACCTTAAATTGCTCACTTTGTTAAAATCTAACATTTCTGAAATCAATGAAAAGGTCACAAGTGTCCTTCCATACATAAATAACAGCCTTGAAAGTGACTGCTTATTTGAGTGGTGGTTGTGGGGGCTTTCAGAAACACTTGATTTTATGTCACTTCCATTCATCGGAGAATCTATCAGATATTACAGAAGGAAAGTAGAAATCATGATGAACGTTTTTGTGGTTGGTATGTCAAAATCATTTGATTTTTGTGATACAAGAAATGGAATATCTCGAAGTAATGTCTAATTTTCAAGTTATTTTTAACATTGTCAGAAGAAAGCACAAAACTATTGAAATAACACTAAAACAACATAATTGAATTGCAATTTACTTTTGATGTAAGCTCCTTAACTTCTGTGTGCTTGTTTGTGTATAGCATTAAACCCTGATCTTGTTGCCTAGATTGGTTTTACATATTTATGACTTGCTCCTATTAAAGAGCTTTTAACATGTGTATTTGTGTGTAAGCATTAAGAATTTCCTTCAGTATAGTATTTTGTGTTTTTCTTTTGCACACATGTTTGTAGTTTTTACTAAAATTTTCTGTATTAACAAAACTGTTTGGCCTGTGTATTTAGGATATGAACCATACCAACTCCTATGGTATCATTCGAGGGCTACAGTTTGCCTCCTTTATTGTCCAGTATTATGGATTAGTGCTCGATCTTTTAGTCTTAGGCTTGCAGAGAGCAAGTGAAATGGCTGGTCCTCCTCAAATGCCCAATGACTTCTTAACCTACCAGGATGTGGCAACTGAATCATCTCATCCTATCAGGCTTTATTCACGTTACATTGAAAGGCTACATTTATTTTTCAGGTATGGTAAATGATAAATATTCTCTGCATTGTATAAATTTCCAGGTTTTATTATTCATCAATATTATATCAGTATCTTGTCATTTCATTTGGCTCAATATTAATAACTATTAACTCTTTCAGCACAGGCTCAGTCCCTGCTGACCTCGTAACCATTTAGTTTTCATGCTATAACTTTTCAATTAGTAAGCAAATGTTACAATGCTTTCATATGCAAAATATCAAATTTATTTTAAGTCTTAAGGTTTGTAAAGCAATGTTTTTCTCATATCTATTTTTTCTTTTCGCATGTTGCCTATCTAACATGCAACATAATTTTCATTATAAGATTAAAAATACTTTTATTTGATCAGAAAATTTTCATATTTCACATGTGAAATCCTTATGTCCAGATGGTTATCAAATGTTTCTTAAGAAAAAACTTTATATTTTATCTGTTATTTTCAGTAATGAATCTCTGTACGGGTTTGGTAAATTTGACCAATTTTGTAACCACCATAAAAAAAGAAGATAAATTATACTTTTTTGTTCTAGAATGACTACAAATTATA